AGAATCAGAAGCTATTTGTATTGACTTAGAACCGTGACAGTGAACATCCAGTCTTACCCAAGGACTCTCCTGCTGTTTGTGACAATATAGTATAAAGGGGTCTTGAACCACAATATCAGACCTAGTAAGCAGGAAGTGGCCAGTGTCCTGGATCCCCTTATAAAGATACATAAGCAGCATAAAGTGAGAGATAAACCTACAAAGATTAAAGGTCTTAGTACTTTGGTAAAGTTTTAAAAGGCCAATGGTCTGCAATATTCTGTCCAAGGTAAAGGATGGGTTACTGTACCTTGTACCTTCTACCTCTAAAAAAGAGGCACAGTATTTTGTAGGCCTCTTTAGTTTTCAAAGAGAGCATGAAGCACACTTAAGAATACTGTTTTGATGCATTTAATGGGTGACATGGAAAGCTGTCATTTTTGAGTGGGGCCCACAGTAAGAAAGAGCTCTGTAGTTTTAGGTTGCAGCACGAGAGGCTTTGTTTCCTGGGCCATATATCTGGCTACATCCCACAATGCTAAGTCCCACAATGTTGTGGTATGTAAGGATACCTTTTGGAGTGTTAGGAAAGCCAAAACAGGGGCCTCTCACTGTAAATCCTCACATTCTGCAGCAGAGAATGATTCCTCACTCAAAAAGCAGCTCTTGGCATGCTCGTGGGCTCTGATAGAGAATGAATGCCTGATAGAGGATGAATGGTCATGGGATATCAAGTGACTCTGCAACTGGAAGTGCCCACTATGAATTGGTTATGTCAGGCAGATCAAGTCCTAAAGTCAGGCAGGCACAGCAGCAACTCATTAAATGATAAAAATGGAACACTGGGATTGGCTCAAACAGGTCTTCAGGGCACAAATAAATTTCATAAATAAGCAGCCCAGACACCCATGTCACCTGTCTCATGCACCAATGTCTCTTTTAGCTTACACCTCATGTGGAATTCCCTAAGAAGAGCTGACAGAATATGAAAACAAAATTCATGGATGAATCACAATATATTGGTACAAGCTGCAATTAAAATGCTTCCAGACTTTAGTTCCTCTCACAAGTAGCCCTGAAATATGGTGATTAGGGGAAATCCTCCTGGCAGGCAGAGCTTTAAGCAGTATTCCTAGGCCCTCAGTTTGGAAAAGAATGCTAAATGGCTTCATCAAGGGCCTAGAAAGTACAAGATCACAAGGTAAGAGAAAGAGTTCTGGGGAAGAAGCATGTGATTGGGCCTATGAGGGTTGTGTTGCAAATATACCCTAATCTCACCTCTATTGAGTCATACCCTTATATAATCCCCTTCCCTTGAATGGGAGTGGGTTCTGTAACTTGCTTCTAAATACAGCAAAGGTGATAAAATGTCTGTCTCATGAGTATGTTACATTATAAAAGACCCCATCTTAGGGAACTAGAGGGAAACTTCCTGTTGGCTTGGAAGTAAGCTGTCAGGTTGTGAGAGGACCACATGATGAGGAATAGTGGGTGGCATCCAGGAGTTGAGAGCAGTCCCTGCCAACAGCCATTAAGAAAACAGGGACCTCAGTCCTACAACCACAAAATGATGATGGTTGCCAACCATATGAATGAGATTGGGGGTGGATTCTTCCCTGGTCAAGTCTCCAGATGGAGGCACAGCTCAGCCAACAACAGACTGCTGCCTTGGGAAACCCTGAGCAGATGACCCAACCAAGTGATGCCAGGGCACCTGGCCATGGAAACTCTGTGATCACATATGTGTGTTGTTTTAAGCTGCTAAATTTGTGGTAATTTGCTATGCAGCATAGAAAACTAATATAAGTAGATGTAAAATACGTAGACATTTGTATCTCAGAAAGCATCCACTTCAGAAGAGGTACTGGAAAACCAGGTGGACAGGATAATTTAACCAGTAGACACCAGCCAGTCTTTGCTCCTGGTCACCTCAATGGTTGTATAATGGGTTCGTAAACAAAGTCAGCATGGTGACAGGGATGAAGGTGATGAAGGCTAGGCATGGGCTCATAACAGGGCACCCTTTCACCAGGCTGGTTTAGCTACTATTGCTGCTGAATGTTCTACCTGTTCATGGAAGAGACCTGTTCATATTCAGCCCTCAACATGGTACAACCCCTTTAGGAGACAAAACATTAATTCAATGACAATTTGATTACACAGGACCCCTTCACCTTTGAAGGAACACCTGACATGTGCTCCTAATATGGGCTTGTCTTTCCTACCTGCAGTGCCTTGGCCAGCACCACTACCTAAAGGTTTAGAGTATGTCTCATTTACCTTTATGAGATCTCTGATCTGCCTTGGATCAGAGGACCTTTTTATATACCACCTCACCTAGAAGTTGCTGGTTTGACAGAATGTTGGAATGGCCTCTTAAAGGCACAGCTAAGGCACTAGCTTGGGACTGAGACAATGTACTTCAAGATGAAGAATATGCTTTGAATCAAGGGCTGGAAGTAGGAGTGGCCCCTCTCACCAATACTCTTTGTAATTGATGGGAAATTTGCACCTCACTTCTGGACAAGAGGTCCTGGGTCTGGTGGATGGGAGAGACGGTTATATCAGGGCACCCAGTAAAGTTTTCATTAAATCTTAAGACGACTGCTGCCACCTTGTCATTTTTGACTCCACAAGCCCATAAGGAGTCTTTGCACTGGCAGATGGAGATAGGGTTGATGCTATGTAACTGGGTGAGATTGGGGGTGTTCAGGGTGGTATGGCCATAAACTGCTACCTAATTGGGATAGGGGATGCATTTCTTGAACTCAGGGGATTCTCTGAGACACCTTTTAATGTTTTCATGTCCAGTGAATGCGTAATTGCAGCAACTAAAACCTGACAATGACACAGTAACCAAGGGCTTGCACTCCTCATTATCCTACTGGGCAAACAGGCCAGCAGAAGTGCTGGCCAAGAGTAAGGAAAATCTAGAATGATGGTAGAGGACGGAGGTGATCAATTACAGACCTCAGATTTATTGCAGTAGTGGATTCTGCAGCTTGTCCCATTAATCTTTTATTTTTGTAAGTCCCTTTAAAAATTAAGACTAGCCACTACCTTAAAGAATCAGGGTGGGATGGTGTGAACTTGATGTGGGGAAAGAGTGGATGTGAGTGCTGAAAAGGGTGGAATGTAGCAACTGCTATTAGTGCCTTCCCCATATCGACTTGACATATACCTTTTCTATGCATGACCAGCCCAACTTCCAAAACGTCAGCACATGCGACTTTTTGCCTAAGGGCTCTCTCCAGCTGCCAGAACCTACTCTCCCTAAACATAGGGTAGACTGGAAGTTCTAGGGAATCAATGTTCTGTCATACTAGGCTTCATCCAATAACTGATGGGAGTTAGCACATAAATACTCCAGCTTCCTTGCCCCTTAAGAGGGGATAACTGAGACATGCCTCCCAGTATTCCCTAGTGAATTCAGCCCACAAAGAAACTTCTTTGGTAATATTCCCTTTATCAGTTTTCTTCTCCTCCCTGCTGCTGTTTTCTGGGATTACGTCCCATATAAACAACTTGCCCTTAAAGTTTTGTCTTAAGATTTGCTTCCCGGAGAAAGAAACTAAGACAAAGTCAAAATGTAAGGGCTAAACCATAATAATTGAAGACTAGAATCCTACAGGTATTTTAAGAGTTGCTACCCTAAATAAAAACATTGTGCAGATATTTAACCAATATTCAGAAAAGTTGGTTTCATTATGAAATAGAACACAGCTAATTATTTTTTCCCAGTTAAAATGTCCAAGTCAATGCAAAATGCCAGAAAGGACACCGTCATCTTTCTAGTTCTTAATAAAAGGAGTACCAAGCTGTAGGGGGAAAGCACACAAAACCATAGAATTAAGTATATCTTTAAAATTTTTGTGATTTCTCAAATTTGAACTTACAATATGATCTTTGGTATACATGTTATCTGTGTATGCTATAATTCTTTAATTTTTAAAAAGTTTTTTTACACTTAGCAGTTGAGAAGCCCTCTAGCATAGATTCTGAGGTTTAGAGGTGGCACGTCTCCTGGGAAACCTAGCATTGCCGCCTAAGTTAGGATAGCTACCTCTCCCCTACATCTTATACTCTTGCAGTAGGTGTTCAGTAAATATTTGTGGACTAAATACTTCACTGGTTGAAAGAAGATATGGTTTTAAAAAGTGGATTTACAAAGAGACCGCTTTGCAAGAAAAGGAGCTGGTCTAGGGTTCCTGCAGGAGGCGGAGTTGAGTGCAACAGATACCAAGATGCCACCAGGGCGGACCACCACACCGCCGGCCACGAGAAGGCTCCTTACCTGGCCGAAGCGGACACTCTGCGGGACAGCAGCCGCCTCTAAGGGGCTCCGCGGTGCTGTTGGGCGGTTGCCGGGGAGACTGTTGGGCCGCCGCGCACCGGCAACTTGGAGGGCGGGGCCTCGGAAGGCGGGGCTGTAGTTCATTGCATTTCTTTTTTAATTCGAAATAGTCACTTTTGTACCTAATTTAGTATTCATAATTAAAATACGCTCATTTTCACAAATATGGAAGAGAGGGTACACACATGCCCATTTATGTCGCACACATGATATGAAGAAACCTCCTTTCAGGCGCGGCTCCCACACACCGCGCTCGAGTCTGTCAAGAACTTCAAGTGGCTAGCCTCAGGCACAAACCTGTGGCAAAGCCACACTTTCCAGCTTTAGGTGGTTTTAAAACAATTCCTTGGGCCACACAGCATCGGTACAACATAGATTAGAAGTGAGGGGAAAACTGATACTTAGTGAAGGACTGGCAGAGGGCCGGCTTCCAGGAAAATGAGCAGCAGTAGGCGTGGAAAACACAGACCAACGTGGGAAAGGATCTATCCTGCAACTGGTAGAACCCTTTTGAAAAGAAGCTACCCAATCCAAAGAGAGGGAGGATTAATCTGTCGACTTTCTCTCCGCCCACGTTTTCCTCCTGTCCTTACCAAAGATGGCGCCCTTCGCTTCCTCTCTCGACAGCACTCAGGTCCTGGAAGCCTCTACCCGACCAGTCTATGGTACGTCCTCCAGCCCCGCTCCCGCCGTGAGGGGCGGGGCTTGCCTGGAGGCGGGGCGCCGGGATCCGGAAACAGCAGATCATCTGTAGCTTTACCACCCAGGCGGTGTTGTTCCTGGCTAGACTTCATGTCCAGGGTCTGAGGCGTTTTCTCGCCTAGTCTCCTGGGGCGGTCCGGCGGCTGGTGCCCTGTTGTGGGGCCCTCATTTGCCAACGCCATGCCCACGGCCGCCGCCCCCATCATCAGCTCGGTCCAGAAGCTGGTTCTCTACGAGACCAGAGCTGTGAGTACCCCTCGCGGCGGGGCGCGGGCGGGAGGATGGATACCTGCTGGAGAGTGCGGGGCCAAAGGGCCGAGGCTGTACCCTGCCTCCTCCTCCGTCCTCTCCAGTTCCCAGATCCCTGTCAAACACAGCCTTGGGGTAAGCTAGCTGTCTTGGGCTGTGCCTGGGTGCTTTTGCCCTATTTTGGTGCCCTGGACATTCCACTTAACCAGCCATGGCTGGAACACGCTGGAAACAGGTGCTTATGGTACCTCAGGAACTGTTTATGAGGTTCTCTGTGCAAGTTGCTGGATTATTTTCAGCTTTCAGAAAGTCTATGAAAGTTCTAGAGTTCACAAGCTGCAGTACAGGCAGGGATATGAAAAAAAATTTGACCTATGACTTGTAACTTATTTTTTCCTATTCCATCATATACCATCACTGCGATTGATGTGAATCATGTACACTTTTATTGCTGAATTTTTGAGTTCTCTTTTTTTCTTATTTGAAAGGAAAGAAACATTTATTTTGTTCAGAGACACATAATTTGTTTGGATAGCATCTTGCTTTGCCCTTGACTTTTTTCAACATAACATTTACTTTTAAAATTTTATTACTTTGAATGGCCAGGTAAATAGTGAATAAGCAGATCAGTTTGTATGTATTTCGATTACTAGTTCCTCAATTAAGGGGGAATGGTGTTTATAGAACTTCATACTTGGTCCTTTCTGTGGCTGGAAAGCAAAGTTGGTACAGTATACCTCTTCTAAATTGGAGTGCCACAGCAATAGTAGGTACTGTATTTGATATTACCCATTTCATGCTAACAAAGTTGCATATGCCAGATATTTGCACAGTGCTCTTCACTGTGTTATACAGTGTCTTATAAACTGTTTCTCTGAAACTTGGGTTGTCTCCATTAGAGGAGTATGAGAAGGCATTTAACAGTTTCTCAGTTATAACATAGTCCTAATAGCACGTCTCCCTCAGGTTTTCATGAGTTAAGAGTTGTTGACCTTAACATTAATTTTGCTGACAACTTTGATTAGCTCTAGATCAGAAGATGAAATTACCAAATATACTGTATTTGCAAGTATTTTCAGTTCTCTAATGACAGCCATAAAGAAGTATCATTTGACATTGAAATGAAACCTATTTTCTGTAAAATGTGCTGCTAAATGTCCCTAGTTAGAAACATAAATAACTTTTTTTCCCCTTTGAGACAGAGTCTCTTGCTCTGTCACTTAGGCTGGAGTGCAGTGGTGCTATCTCGGCTCACTGCAATCTTTGCTTCCCAGGTTCAAGCAGTTCTCCCACCCCAGCCTCCTAAGTAGCTAGAATTATAGGCATGTGCCACCATGACCAGCTAATTCTTGTGTTTTTAGTAGAAGACAGGGTTTCTGTATGTTGGCCAGGTTGGTTTCAAATTCCTGGCTTCAGCCTCCCAAAGTGTTGGGATTATAGGCATGAGCAACCACATCTGGCCATAAATAAAACACAAATTTCAGCCTGTTAATAAGCTGATCATTCGTGAGGACTGGTGAGATATTAGAGTTCAAAATGCACAATTTATATTATAGGGCTCTTCTGCTCAGAAATCTTTAGTGGTCCCAATTCTGAGGAGAGTAAACTCTGAATCCTTTAATTTGGCATTCAAAGCTGTGTAGTATTTGTCTTCAACTTGTCTGTCTAGTTTTACATCTAATTTAATATTAATTCACGAATCATTTATTGAGTATCAACCATGTGCCTTCATATGCCTTATTCTGCAGTAAAAGTATATTGCTTTCAGCTCCTTATATCTACCTGGCGTTTTTCTGCTGTTCTCTATTCTCATAATGCCACACCCCTTCTTTTCCCGTCAAAACCTCACGGATCCTCACAGCACATATCTGGTCATGCCTTGCAAACAGTGGACTCTCAATAGATGTGGATTAAGGAGGTCTAACACAAAGAGACAGATGTGTGTTCTAGAATTCAGCTGTGACCCCTTTCAACCACCTAAGTAATGGAAACTAACTCTGACCAGCTTAGAAACAAAAGGTAAATTTATCAGAGGGATGCTGGGGGAACCATTGCATGGAATCATTGGCAGATCCTAACTCCAGCTTCTGGAAAAGCAGGAAACAGATAGCAGGTTTGAGAATCCCCTCAGAGTGCTGCAAAAACAGCATAAGTGCTGGGATAAAGAATCTGATTGACTCAGCTATGATTGGGCATCTTCCCCTGAGTGGACAAATCATTCATGGCCAGGGAGGGTCTGGCAGGAATGACTTAGCTGTGGAATCTTCCTCTTTGTTTCAGCAAATGGCTGGGGCTGGGCAATCACCCTTGGAAATGTCTGCTGCATTAAATCACTGAGTCTCAGTTTTTTTGTTAGTTAAGTAATTTTTATTTTTTTTTTTACTTAAAGATAAAAGCAGAAAGGTTTTTTTTGTTTTATTTTAGTAATAAGCTGAAAGTATAAATAATAAGAAAAAGGGCATAAAATTACCGGTAACTAGATAAATGCTAGGAATTAAAAAAGAAACAGAGCAGGTTGTAATAATGAGCATAATAGCTCAAAATATTCTACATATATTTTATTGTTTAATCCTCTTAAGACCTCTAAGAGACCATGCTGTTGTTACTACTACTACTGTTGCTACTGTATATATTATTTGGCAAAGAAAAAATGAGGCAAAGATAATTTAAGGCACTGTTACAGGGTTAGTGTTCCAATTATGGAACACTAGGTATAAAGTGTGGTGCAGATGCTAAGAATGTATATTGGGGAAAGTACAATCTCTTCAATAAATGGTGTTGAGAGCGCTGGATATCCATGTGCAGAAGAATGAAATAAGACCCTTCTCTCTTGCCATATCCACAGATCAACTTAAAAGGGATTAAAGGCTTAAGTGTGAAACCCAAAATTGTAAAACATCTAGAAAAAAACATAGGGGAAATGCTTCAGGATATTGGTCCCTTCTTGGATGAAGAGTTTGCAAATATTTTCTCCATTCTACAGGTTGCCTCCTCACTCTGTTGATTGTTTCTTTTGCTGTGCAGAAGCTTTTCAGCTTGATATAGTCCCAATTGTCTCTTTTTGCTTTTGTTTCTTGTGCTTTTAAAATCTTATAAAGTGTGAGAATTTAACCATGTTGATGCAGTCTTTTTTACATTGTTAACTAAAGAAAAATGAGTGCCCTTTAAAGATTTTTTTTGTAAGATGAGGAAACAAAAAGAAATCAAAAGGAGCCAAATTGGAGCTGTACAGCAGATGCCTAATTATTTTCCATTGAAACTCTTGAAAAATTCCCATGTTTGATGAGAGGAATGAGCAGGAGCATTGTTGTGGTGGAGAAGGACTCTCTGGTGGAGTTTCCTGTGTATTTTTCTGCTAAAGTGTTGGCTGACTTTCTCAAAACACTCCTATAATAAGCAGATATTGTTCTTCAGCTTTCCAGAAAGTCAACAAGCAAAATGCCACAAGTATACCAAAAAAAAAACCTGTTGCCGTGATCTTTTCCTCTTGGCCCGTCTGCTTTGCTTTAACTGGACCAGTGCCACCTGTTGATAGCCATTGCTTGGATTGTGCTTTGACTTTAGGATCTTACTGGTAAAGCCATGTTTAATACAGTTATTTGAAGAAATGCTTCAGGATCTTGATCTTACTTGTTTAAAATTTCTATTGAAAGCTCTGCTTTTGTCTGCAGCTGATCTGGATGAAATAGCATTGGCAGCCGTCAAGTGGAAAGTTTGCTCAACTTTAAATTTTCTTTTTTTTTTTTTTTAAATTATTCAACTTTAAATTTTCAGGCAGAATTGTTTAATCTACCAGTTGAGATGTCTATGGTGTTGGCTCTTATTTCTGCTGTTAATCATCTGTCCTCTTTAATCAGGTAACAAACAAGATGAATTTTCTTCCTGAAAAATTGACATGGATGGTCTGCTGCTGTGGGCTTTTGTTTTCAACATCATCTCATCCCTTCTTAAAACAAGTTATTCATTTATAAACTGCATATTTCTTTGGGACATTGTCCCCATAAACTTTTAATAAGCATCAATGATTTCACCATTCTTCTACCAAAGTTTTACCATAGCTTTGATGTTTGTCTTGTTTCAATTTTAGCAGAATTCATGTTGCTCTGACAGGGCTCTTTTCAAACTGATGTCTTATCCTTCCTAGTACTTCAAACTAGCTCCTGTTCAGACATGTTATAGCAAGTTGGTATCAATTTATTTTGGTGGAAAAAAATTTTGAAAGCCATAACTTTTTTATAATATGCATTTTCCATTAACTTTATGAAGTCCCTTCTTATATTCAAAAGAAAGGAAATCAATATGTCAAAGAGATACCAGCACTTCTGTGTTTATTGCAGCACTATTCGCAATAGCTAAGATATGGAATCAGCCTAAGTGTCCATCAGCAGATGAATGGATTAAAAAATGTGGTGTATATATACACACAGTGGAATACTATTCAGCCATAAGCAGAATGAAGTTCTGTCATTCACAGCAATATGGATAAGTCTGGAGGACGTTATATTATGTGAAATAAGGCAGGCACAGAAAGATAAATGTTTTCACTCATATGTGGAACCTAAAAAATATGTTGAGCTCATAGAAATAGAGAGTAGAATTGTGTTTATTCGAGGGTGGGACAGGTAGGAAAGAGGGAATGATAGGGAGGGAGGGTTAACAGATATAAAACAACAGCTACGTGGGAGGAATAAGTTCTAGTGTTTTATAGCACTGTAGGCTGACTATAGAAAAATAATTTATCATACATTTTCACATAGCTAGAAGAAAGGATTTTTAGTGTTCCCAACACAAAGAAATGATAAATGTTTGAGATGATAGATACGCTAATTATCTTGATTTGATCATTACATAGTGTATGCATGTATTGAAATATCGATTTATATTTCATAAATATGTACAATTATTACATGTCACCTAAAAATTAAAGGGAAAAAAAGTATGATTCAGTAGATCAGGAAATTGGGAGTGACTTTGCTAAGTGATTTTGACTCAGGGTC